TTTAAGGCTAAGTTGCGATACATGCATGGATTTATTGATATTTCAATTACGATCACAATTACCTATACATGAACGGTCTACTAGCTATTGCTAATGTAATTTTTAACTTGTTTTTTTTTTTATTTCAAATTATTATTTTATAATAAATTTATTAATCAACTATTAATAAAACTTGAATATTTTTATTATTACATTATAAAAAATATATATTTAAAGTTTTATATTAATTAAATAAATAATTATTAAATTATATTAAAAAATATTAGTCCAAAAACTTTTGTAACACACTGTATATTATTTTAAAAAATATAATTTGATATTTTCAATACTGGTCAATTGATTACTGTATATAATTAAATAACGAAATAATATTTCGATAAATCAGGAATCACATGATCAATAACCAAATTATTTAAGAATTACGTGGAATCCTATATCTCGTGATTATTTCACACTAATGTCTTCGTCCGCGACAATTAGTTCTTGGTCCTCTGTAATTGATGATCAAAGTGACGGATTTGAAGCAGAAGATGATTTTGAAACAGAAGAGCTGAGAGTATTTATCAACGATTTAAAGCTTTTATTTCGAATTTTATATTTATTCGCGAAATTTACACGTCAACACGTTAGCTCGCTAGTGGAAATAGAGATGCAATTCTTTTTGTCATTGATTGTTCATTATCAATGATGAAAGAGGATGAAAATGGCGACGTTCCATTTCGTTCGGCAACCCAGTGTGCATCCGCAGTAATGATGAATAAAATTATTAGCGCAAATGATAATGATTTTTTGGGCGTGATGTTTATTGGAACGGTAAGTTATTTTTCTTTTACTTGGTTTATCATTGATTATAATAATGTTTACCTAATATTATTTATTTAGGAAAAATCTAAGAATCCACTTGAAAAAGATCACATCTACGTCCTTCAAAACATGGATCTGTCAGACATTCATCGAGTCATGGAATTGAATGAAATAGCGGATGGTAAACTAATTTTTAATTTTTTTTGCATTAACTTCGTATAATTCTTATTTAATGAAGATTGTAATTAGATGAACAATTTGATTTTGCACACGAATATGGAATTACTGAAAAGGAGTATCCTCTTGGTGATGTTTTCTGGGTTTGTAGCGAACTATTTAATTCGATGTAAGTATGTCATAATATTTTTTGATTTTCATTAAATAAAGCATTTAATAACATACATACAATATTATATACTAGTGCAGCCTCAACATTAAAGACAAAGAGAATATTCTTTATCACTGATCAAGATAACCCTCATTCCGCTAATTCTATCTTTCGTAAAGCAGCGATTACACGTGCTAGGGTATGGCACACTTTTTTCAATTAGGTCAAATCCACAAATAGTATTAAACCTATTATTGATATTATTTAAAGGATTTGGTTGAGTCGAAAATTGAAATAAATCTATTTAGCATTAGTGGAGCTGACTCAACTTTTGATGTTAATGCTTTCTATACAGTATGTTTATGTTACCTTTGTTATCAGTATCCTATCAATCGATTCCGACTAATTACTCGTGTATTCATCAACTAGGAAATAATTCCCACTGATGAAGAATATGGCGATTCACCTCATATCAACGCGTCGAAAAATTTTAATAGTTTACTGTCTCAAATTTTGTCCAAAGAATCCCCTAGGAGATCTATGTTTTCTGTTCCTTTTCGTTTATTTGAGGGAGAAGGAATGACTATAGGCGTTAAGGGGTAGATATCTTACCGGAAATAAGATTTTTAGATAAATTTGTTTATGTCGTTATATTATATTTTTGTATCGTTCAGTTACATCATGATCAGCGAGCAAAAGAAACCTGCATACAAGTGGGTTCATATGAGAGGTGAGACCACACGTTTAACCGAAAGCAGGACAAAATTGATTTGTGCGGTAAGTTTTAATAGTTTTTAAAGCAATTCTTTTTAACTCTTTATTGATTCTTTATTTTAGGATACCACACAAGAACTATTGCCACAAGACATTAAGTGTTGCTTTATTTATGGTGGAGAAAGGGTATGTCACGTTTATTGTTGACTTAATCAGTACTTATTAATTTGAATATATATTAAATTAGGTTGTTTTTACCAAAGACGAAATGCAAAGAATTAAGGAAATTGGCGACAAAGGTGATCATGAGCTATTTAATAAACAAAAAAATGGACATCTTGATTTAACATAAATTTTATAATTGGTAGGTATAACCCTTCTTGGCTTCAAGCCGGCATCCGCACTAAAAGTTCATTATAACATGGGACCTCCGTATTTTATATATCCTGATGAGGAAGTACGAATTATTATTTTTGCGTATAGAATATATTTACAATTACTTGACGATTATTATATAATAAAAACAGCAATATGAAGGCAGTAGGAGAACATTTGCAGCTTTGCATAAAAAGATGATCGAAATGGAAAAGGTTGCGATATGTGCTGCTAATCTACGGGCCGGTAGTTTAATAAAATTTGTTGCTTTAAAACCTCAGGTATGTTAATTTATTTAAAATGATTAATAATTTTATAATTTTGATGTGATAATAATCCGAGCATTCGCCTTTCTTAGCCTGAACTACTTGACGATGAAGGACAACAAATACAACCTCCCGGGTTTACTATGTTTACACTACCCTTCGCTGATGATATTAGGCCTCTTCCACCTCATTCATCTGTTACGCCAGGCATTTATTTTATAGTTATATATGTGACTTATGCGATATTTCGTTTTTTAAACTTCTTTTTTGTTAATAGCCCCTGACATACTGGTCGACGCTATTAAACCAATAATTGAGAAACTTCAAATTAGAGGAGGCTATGATCCGCAAAGATTTAAAAATCCTTGTAACTATATCAATTAAATTCTCATTTATTTATTGGTGAAATTCGATTAATGTTAGACTTTCATGTTTACATTAGCATTAGCCAGATTTTACAATGTGTTAATAGATTTGGCTATTAATAGAGATGTAGAAGAGGAAATTACAGATTCAACTTTGCCAAAAAATTCGCTAATTCATCAGGTTATTCTAAAGTCTTTCTATTATTCTTCAAGAAAAGGAAGGAAATTCAATAATATTGTTTTATTTATTAATAGCGCGTTGGAGAATTTATTAAATTGTTCAATATAGAAGCAAATGAGCAAGCAAAGAGTTTACCTGAGATCTATACACCGTCACGTTCGTCACGATCATCATCTAGCCGTGCTCCTAAGTCTCAAGGCTCACATGTTGACATGATAACATTATATGCTGAAAACAAGGTGAGTAGTTTTACTTGAGCATTCTATTATTTCTTTAATGGTACAATATACATCTAATTGTCTTATTTATTGTTATTTTAGGTTAACAGGGTAAGTTTTTCATGCTTGAATGCCTGTGTCACACAAGAACTTTAACATTAACATCACGATTTCGAATTATAATATATATAGGCCACAGTGGTTCAATTAAAAGAATTTCTTAATAGTGTTGGAATCAAGCCGTCTGGTAAAAAAGATGATCTTGTTAATCAAGTTAACATATATTTTGAATCTAAATAATTTGAAATAAGTTGGTGTATATCTTAAAAATAAGATTGCATTTACAAGCTAATATAATAAAATGCATCTAATTATTTTCGGATATTGATCTATCATTTATTAACGATTATTATAAAAATTTACGATTTGAAAAAATTACATTATGTATAATTAAAAATAAATATAATTAAAAAATTAAAAGTATTTTATCTAATAAGAAAAACAGTAAACTGTTTTATTTTATTATTTATTTATGTACTGTATTTTTAATTTTAATTTTAATTTTTTTTACCATACACTAACTGGAGCTGTTGCTCAGTATATTTTATTATTTTAGAGATTTGCAAGTTAATTACATATATTAAATACATGATAATTGCTATAATATCTAGCATATTGGCAGTTAAACAAGTCATGTCAAATATATTTTTCCTTATTTTTAAGTCTTGAAATCGAGGAATCAATAAAAATTGCTTTTCAAAAACTCAAATTACCATATTCTCCCTATTATAAACACTCCCTGGTTATAAGCACTCTTATAATTTTTTTTAAAAAAAAACAAAAATTAATATACTGTATCTCAACATATAATGATTAGATTTTAATAAAAATTATACCATTAGATTCCTTTTAATAAGGGCTTTTTAATGGTATATTTTTTGACCAAATTGGATTGATATTGATCAAATTATTAAAAAAAAATAATTTCTTTCAATTATAAGTACCTCACAAAAATAAATCTAACATAAACTCCTAAAAAAGAATGCTTATAACCAGAAGAATATAGTATTTGATTTTTATACTGTTTATGTAATATTTCTTTTATATAATATAGCCTACAGTATATTTAAAAAGACCAAGATCTAATATATGTATACAATCTAAAACAACTGCTTTATATATATTAAAGTTTCTAAAAAAACATTTGACAATATTAGTTTAATATATTTTAATTTTAATTAATAAGTTATATTATATCTTAATTTCCAAAATGCATTTATTTCAGGATAAATTGAATAATATTGAAAATTATTATTATTAATTACTTGTCTCATATTATCTGATATTCTATATAAGATATTGGTTTTATTTATATTATTTAGATCATTTTTTGATATTAAGTATGAATAGCAAGACTGTAAAGAAGTAGATGGCAAATAAACATTCGAAAACTTTTTCACTTCAAGTAAATTAACTAATATTATAGAAAATTGTGGGATAAAAATAGTTATATCATCACAAACTACAAAAAGAAATTTTAATTCTTTAGCTATGGATTTAAGAATAATTGATAAACACTTCTAAAAAACTTTTATTTGTAATTTATAGAAATTTTCAGAGTTCTTTGTTTTAGAATCATTGGCTTTTAGAATCAGAAGATATCCAATTAATGTTTTAGATTCCAGTTTATTTCTTTGAAAATTTAATATACTATCAAGTGATAAAAAAATAAAATATTCAAATGATTTTCCTATATGGTTTAAAGTTATTGCATCTAAATAGAAAATAATTGATAATAATTATAGATCCAAGAACAAATATGATTCTTTATATTTTTATTAATTTGAATTAAATTATTCTTCAAAAACATGATATTCAATTTCATTTTTTATTTCAATTTTTTTTTTTATACTTAAGTATCAAAGACTTTTTAATATTATCAATCATTAATAAGGACTTTATAGTTTTAATTACCAATCAATAATAAAGTTTATATTTAATATTCTCAAATCTTATTATAGAAATTTCTTTAAACTCTATATAAGAAATAGCTAAAGTATCTAAAAACTCTTTTTAATTTTTGTTGATAATAGCAATATTGATATATTTAAGTTGAAATATTTATTAAAAAAACTTATTATAGCATCACCAGTTGCATTAAATAATTAATACTGATTAATTAGTTTTATAAAATCTTAATATGCATCATTAGGCCATTCAATTATTTCAGAATATTGCAATTTATTAAAAGCATTATCAAATGAAGTGCTTTTATAATCTTTAAAATCACTTTTATCAGATTTAATTTGAAATAAATTATTTTTTATTGACTTTGTATCCATAAAATAATCTTCAATACAAGATAATATTAACATATTTTTTTTCTAATAAAAAATTAAAATTATCTATTAATATTTTCTAACTTTATTATTATCAAGCTATTTAATACAGTATATCAATTCAAGTTCAGAAAGTGTGAATAAATTTTTGTTCTAAAAATAAAAATTGATTAGTATTAATTTAAATGTCTAAAATTTTTAACAATATTTATCCTATGTATTAAAAAATCATCAGTGTCAATATCCATAGTAGGGCTCTGAAAAATAAGCATGTATTTGATTTTTATAAGCTCACATAAACTCACATAAACTTGCATAATATAAATAATATTTTAAAATTTGATTAAAGTATAATTAGGGTTCCGAAAAAGTATCGAACTGGTATCTTGCATAATATAAATAATATTTTAAAATTTGATTGAAGTATAATTAGGGTTCCGAAAAAGTATCGAACTGGTATCAAACTGATATCGAAATGATACTGATCTATAGTAAATTTAATATATGGGTTGTGACCTACTCATATGTTTTTATAGTAA